GGCTTTTGTCCGCGACCTGTCTGCGGACAAGCTGTCCCCCCGTGCTGTTCCCTGCGTCTTCCATGGCTTCCCTCCTGACGCGCCGGGTTGGCCGTTTTACCACCCCACCTCGCGCCGTGTTCTATCCTCCCAGGACGTCACGTTTGACGAGTCGGTCCCCTTCTACCGTCTCTTCCCCTACCGCACTGCCCCGCTCCCCCCTCCGCCGCTCTTCCTCACGCCAGGTGCTGCCTTGGTAGACCCCTTGCCTCCCCAGGGTCCTGCTCCCTCAGGTGTTTCCCAGGTAGACCCCGTCGAGCCTGTCGAGGTAGCTGTCGACTCTGGTCCTGCGCGAGGTACTGAGCGTGCTGAGCCTGGTGGTGCTGGGTCTGGAGGTACTGCGACTGGGGGTGCTGAGCCTGGGGGTGCGGAGACTGGGGGTGCTGAGCCTTGGGGTGCGGAGACTGCGGGTGCTGAGCCTGGGGGTGCTGTCCCTGGGGGTGCTGGGTCTGGAGGTCCTGAGCCTGGGGGTGCTGCGCCTGGGGGCGCTCTCTCTTCCCAGCAGCTGCGTGAGTGGTACTCTCGGTACTGTCGCAGCCTCCGTGGTGCTGCTGGAGCTGGAGCTGAGGGCGCTGAGCCTACTGGAGTTGGTGTTGCTGCTGACCCTGGGGTCGGCGCTGGAGGTGCTGGAGCCACTGGTCCTAGAGGTGCTCGTACTGGCGGTTCTGGAGCTGCTGGGACTGGGGGTGCTGCTGGGGCTGCTGGAGCTGGTCCTGCTGGAGGTGCTGCTGGTGCTGCTGGAGGTACTGGAGCTACTGGTGCTGCTGGGGGTACTGGAGCTGCTGGGTCTGGAGGTGCTCCTGGTGCAGGAGCTGGTGGAGCTGGCGGTCCTGCTGGAGTAGGTGCTGCTGGAGCTGGAGCTGCTGGGGGTGTTGGCGCTGGAGGTGCTGCTGGCGCTGGTGCTTCTGAGGGTGCTGGAGTTGGCGCTGCTGGAGCTGGAGGTGCTGCTGGCGCTGGTGCTGTCCCTGCTGTTGCTGGAGGCGCTGCGCGGCCGCGGCCGTACTTCGTTCCGCTCCTTGAGCAGGTTCTTGGTCTCCCGCCTTCTACTGGTCCTGCTCCTCCCTTAGAGTGTCCACAGCCTGTCCATTCGCAGTCGCAGTTACAGCCCGCCTCCCCACTGCCTGCTCCTTCTCCCTACACTGGTCCTACTGGAGGTCTTGCTGAGCGTCGTGCGCCTGCGTCTCGTCCTGCGTCGCCTGTTCGTGCTGCTCGCACTAGTCGTGTTCCGCGTCAGCGTCCTCCTGCGGTCCCGGGCACGCATCAGATGGCACTGCGTCCTTCCACTGCTCCGCAGCGTGTCCCTTTGCCGTCTCCTCCAGAGTCCTCTCTTCCTGCTCTTGCTGACCCGGAGTCGGACTCTCTTCGTACTGCCAGTCCTACTGTCACGCGTCTCCTGGCTACTGTTGTCACTGACCCTTCCTTTGAGTCCACTGCTGCGTCTGCCTTAGTTGCTGGGTTGGTCGACTTCGCTGCTCACTGTCATCTAGACTACTCTGCTAGTCTTGTTGCTGAGTCTGAGTCTGTCTGTCCTCCGTCCGTCGGGGGTTAGTGTGCTCTTAGCACGGTCGTCCTTGAGGACAGGCAGGAGGAGTTCCAGTGTTTTGCTGCTGCTTTGCCTCATCTCGTGTCCATGCTGATTGCCCCTGAGGGAGACCCGGATGCACCAGACATCCCGACTCCGCGCTCTTACGCAGAGGCGATAGAGGGTCCCTACTCCTCTCAGTGGCAGTCAGCCATGGACGCAGAGATGGCTTCCTGGAAGTCCACAGGCACCTACGTCGACGAGGTTCCCCCACCTGGGGCGAACATCGTCAGTGGCATGTGGATTTTCAGGGTGAAGCGGCCGCCGGGTTCTCCGCCTGTCTTCAAAGCGCGTTACGTGGCTCGAGGCTTCAGTCAGCGGCAGGGAGTTGACTACTTTCAGACCTTCTCTCCCACCCCGAAGATGACCACTCTTCGGGTGCTGCTGCACATAGCCGCTCAGCGCGACTACGAGCTTCACTCTCTTGACTTCAGCACAGCTTTCTTGCAGGGCAGCCTGCACGAGGAGATCTGGCTGCGCCGCCCACCTGTCTTCACTGGGTCGTTTCCTCCTGGTACTCAGTGGAGCCTCCGGCGGCCAGTCTACAGTCTCCGCCAGGCGCCCCGTGAGTGGGACGACACACTGAGGACTACACTTGCGGCTCTTGGGTTTGCTCCTTCTACTGCCGACCCGTCGCTGTTTCTGCGCACCGACACCTCTTTGGCGCCGTTCTACATCCTCGTGTACGTCGACGACTTGGTCTTTGCCGCTGCTGACACTGCTGGACTCGCCCACGTGAAGTCCGAGCTGCAGAAGAGACACACGTGTACAGACCTGGGTGAACTGCGCAGCTACCTTGGCTTGCAGATCACCCGGGACAGAGCACAGCGCACCATTACCCTGACTCAGTCACACATGGTGCAGCAGGTCCTTCAGCACTTCGACTTCACGTACTCCTCGCCTCAGGCCACTCCTCTGCCTACTCGCCACTCGCTCTCAGCTCTGCCTTCGGATGAGTCCGTAGAGCCGAGTGGCCCGTACCCAGAGCTTGTTGGCTGCCTCATGTACCTGATGACCTGCACTCGACCTGACCTTGCATACCCTCTTAGCATCTTGGCACGCTATGTTGCTCCTAGGAGACACCGACCAGAGCACATGGCTGCAGCGAAGAGGGTGTTGCGCTACTTGTGCAGTACGTCGGGCATGGGGCTAGTGCTTGGAGGGCGGCGTTCAGTGGTCCTCACAGGTCACGCAGACGCTTCTTGGGCTGACGACCAGGCTACGCAGCGGTCGTCACAGGGTTACACCTTCAGCCTTGGTTCCGGCTCTGTTTCGTGGCGGTCTACCCGCTCGACTTCTGTTCTCGGCTCCAGCTGTGAGGCTGAGATCTATGCGGGGGCCATGGCTGCACAGGAGCTACGTTGGCTCACCTACCTGCTGACTGACCTAGGAGAGCCGCCTTGTTCTCCTCCAGTTCTGTACGTAGACAACAAGGCCATGCTGGCGTTGTGTCGGGAGCACAGACTAGAGCACAGAACGAAGCACATTGCTCTTCGCTACTTCCTTGCTCGTGAGCTGCAGCAGCGTGGTCAGCTGCGCCTTGCTTACGTGGCCTCTGAGGCCAACACCGCTGATATCTTTACCAAGGCACTTCCGCCTTGTGATCATCAGCGCTGCTGTACGATGCTAGGTCTTGTGCCTACTTGGCCTCACTTGCTGACTTCTTGACCTTGCTTGTACTGTGATCTTTCTATACCTGCCCTTGCTTGTTTACCTTTATATATGATCTTGCATGTGAACTGGCCTTGTGGCCTTGAAATTGTGCTCGGAATGTGTGGTGACGTTGTGATCCACCCTGAGCTTGCTTTGCTTTGCTTGACTGGTCTTGTGACCTCTTGTTCTCCCCCACTTTGCCTATGGGGGTGTGTCAAACTTATATGCTATAGTCTGTATAGGCTGTAGTGGGGCAGACAATATGGGGTACAACACTTTTAGGTTGTCCTACTTGTACCCACCTGCTTCCTAGTGCATTCATTCCTCATTCTTAACAGATGAGTGTGCATTGAGGGTGCATGATTGAGCTATGGCATATGGGATGATGGTTGGCAGCCAGAGGGGGAGTTTGTTATGTGATGCTATCACTTGCATTCACGTCTGTCTGCCTCCCATCACATGTTCGTGCGTTGCATGCGTGGTGTGAGCGTGTGCAAGAATTTGTGTTTTGTGCGGTTTGGTTTTTCTGAGTGTGTGTGTGAATGTTATTTGGCTTGAGCAGATATCTGAAGTGACTCCTCTGCTCAAGAGCTTTCCGACGAACCAACTATCGCTTCAATCGGAGCACGAACAAGAAAGTTACGAACGTTGGAGTTCGTATGCTTTTCAGATTTGATTGTGGCAACTGTGGGAAGTTGTGGGGTTGACTCAATATGGGGTCCAGACTTTTGGGGGTTGGAAAATTCGTCTTTTCTACTGTAGTTGCTGCCAAATGGTTGGGAGAAACCAAACCAGGCTGGCAAGTGTGGCCAAGTTGGGTTGAGGTGGATTGTGGAGGTTGGGATAGTGACAAAGGTCAAAGTTGGGTTGCCTATGGAGAAGGGAATTGTGTGGCATGGGATTTCCTTGGTTGGGGACTCTCTTGGGACCTTCCCTCTCGTCCTCCTCATCCCTTCCACCTGGTTTAGTGCTACTCTAACTCTCTTGTGTAATTTGTTGTGAACTTGTGAGACTCTTGTGATTGAGTTTTCTTATGGCAGCATACCCCCCTGTGCGCCGAAATTAATAAGTCGAGATTTACTTCACCTCTTGATACGATTCAAATTGGGAATTGTAGCCACGGACTAGGGCTACATCATATCTGAGTTTGGTGAAGTTTTGACCGTGAAGTTTTCGTCGACGGCGTTTCTTGTGAGCGCGACTATTCTGTCCAGAAATAGAGACCAACGATTTTGAGAAATCTAGGCACCTAATCTTCATAAACTCCGTCCTTAGTCTATAACACGCCATACCTTCCCCTCGTCGCGCTCCCTTCCGCCCGTTGCCCCCCTTTGTCTCGTCGCGCTACCTGCTGCTCATCGCCCTCCCTCCCGCTCGTCCCTTCGCAATCCCCGTATCTCTCCCCTCGTCGCCCTGGCATCTCCGTCACTGTCGCCATCCCTCCCATCTCCCTTCCCAACTCATTTGGACCAGTCACACCCCCTTTCCAACCCACACACACGGTGGCCCTTCCCCTAATGATCGCCTTTCACCTCCACACCGCTTACCTCTCTCCTTCCCCACACCATTTCCGGGCTCCCCACACCATTTCCGGGCTCCCCACACCATTTTCGGGCTCCCCACCGTTCTTCGGATTGCTCTCTCCCCGGCATCTCCCCCGCTCCCCACGAAATGCTTCCCCCCATCCTCTTCACTGTTTCCCCTGGGCTTCCCGCACTGCTTTTCCATGTCCCCTTCCCAGCTTCCCCCCATCCCCTTCCCTTCTTCCCCCCATCCCCTTCCCTGCTTCCCCCCAATCCCCTTCCCTGCTTCCCCCCACCCCCGTCCCTTCCTCCCCCCATCCCCTTCCCTGCTTCCCCGTGTCCCTTTCCCTGCTTCCCCCCATCCCCTTCCCTGCTTCCCCGTGTCCCCTTCCCTTCTTCCCCCCATCCCCTTCCTTGCTTCCCCATGTCCCCTTCCCTGCTTCCCCCCATCCTCTTCCCTTCCTCCCCCCATTCCCTTCCCTGCTTTCCCGTGTCCCCTTCCCTGCTTCTCCCCCCATCCCTTTCCCAGCTTCCCCGTGTCCCCTTCCCTGCTTCCCTGTGTCCCCTTCCCTGCTTCCCCCCATCCCCTGCCCTTCCTCCCCCCCATCCCCTTCCCTGCTTCCCCGTGTCCCTTTCCCTGCTTCCCCCCATCCCCTTCCCTTCCTCCCCCCATCCCCTTCCCTGCTTCCCCATGTCCCTTTCCCTGCTTCCCCCCATCCCCTTCCCTGCTTCCCCCCATCCCCTTCCCTTCTGGTGCCCCATCCCTTTACAAGCTTCCCCCCATCCTCTTCCCTTCCACCACCCAAACCCTTCCCTGCTTCCCCCCATCCCCTTCCCTGCTTCCCCGTGTCCCCTTCCCTTCTTCCCCCCATCCCCTTCCCTTATATTCCCCCTTCCTTTTCCCTGCTTCCCCATGTCCCCTTCCTTGCTTCCCCGTGTTCCCTTCCCTGCTTCCCCGTGTCCCCTTCCCTTCTTCCCCCCATCCCCTTCCCATATATTCCCCCATCCCCTTCCCTGCTTCCCCATGTCCCCTTCCTTGCTTCCCCGTGTCCCCTTCCCTTCTTCCCCCCATCCCCTTCCCTTATATTCCCCCATCCCCTTCCCTGCTTCCCCATGTCCCTTTCCCTGCTTCCCCATGTCCCTTTCCCTGCTTCCCCCCATCCCCTTCCCTGCTTCCCCCCTTCCCCTTCCCTGCTTCTTCGTGTCCCCTTCCCTTCTTCCCCCCATCCCCTTCCCTGCTTCCCCCCATCCCCTTCCTTGCTTCCCTGTGTCCCCTTCCCTGCTTCCCCCCATCCCCTGCCCTGCTTCCCCCCATCCCCTTCCCTTCCTCCCCCCATCCCCTTCCCTGCTCTCCCCCATCCTCTTCCCATCTTCCCCCCATCCTCTTCCCTTTCACCACCCAAACCCTTCCCTGCTTCCCCATGTCCCCTTCCCTGCTTCCCCGTGTCCCCTTCCCTGCTTCCACGTGTCCCCTTCCCTTCTTCCCCCCATCCCCTTCCCTTATATTCCCACATCCCCTTCCTTGCTTCCCCATGTCCCTTTCCCTGCTTCCCCATGTCCCTTTCCCTGCCTCCCCCCATCCCCTTCCTTGCTTCCCCCCTTCCCCTTCCTTGCTTCCCCATGTCCCCTTCCCTTCTTCCCCCCATCCCCTTCCCTGCTTCCCCCCATCCCCTTCCCTGCTTCCTTGTGTCCCCTTCCCTGCTTCCCCCCATCCCCTGCCCTTCCTCCCCCCATCCCCTTCCCTTATATTCCCCCATCCCCTTCCCTGCTTCCCCCCATCCCCGTCCCTTCCTCCCCCCATCCCCTTCCCTGCTTCCCCCCATCCCCTTCCCTGCTTCCCCGTGTCCCCTTCCCTTCTTCCCCCCATCCCCTTCCCTGCTTCCCCATGTCCCCTTCCCTGCTTCCCCGTGTCCCTTTCCCAGCTTCCCCCCATCCCCTTCCCTTGGCTGCTCCTCATATTCTCCCTTAGATTGCCTGACTGCATGTCTGCCTGCGTTTGATCTCTGTGCGTGTCTTTCTGCCTCCGTGCGTGCCTGCGTGTGTGCATGCCTGTCCCGCGCGCATGCATTGACAGTATGTGTGTGTGTGTGCGTGTGCGTGTGCACGTCCACCCAGGACCTGATGCCATTCATCGACCGTGACCCCGTGGGAGGCGCACCCGGTGCAGATGGGAGGTGCGGCCGCCCAAGAAGCTGCGTGACGTGCCCACAGAGTGGAAGTGGGGGCAGGAGTGCGGGCAGTGGGGAGCTGCGAGGAGGACGAGGAGGAGCAGCCCCTGGCGCTGGCGGCTTCCATGGAGGGGCACACAGAGGAAGAGGGGGGCGAGGTGGGGAGGTGGGCAAGGTGGGGAACAAGGTGGGGACATGGGCCCATGCAGGGCATCCCCGTATCTCTCCCCTCGTCGCCCTGGCATCCCCGTCACTATCGCCATCCCTCCCTTCTCCCTTCCCAACTCGCACACTTGTCACGCCCACTCACTCCCTTGTTCTCTCATGCCCCACTCTCCAGCCCCTCAGCTGCTGGAAAGCAGATCTACAACCGGATCCGCCCTGAGGCAAACCCCTCCGCGCACCGCCATGCCGGTCACGAAGCAGCAGCAGCCCACAGCGCACTTCGGCAGGTTATGCGAGATAGGGCGCGCAGCTGGCAGAGCTGCGAAGCAGCCTCTTCTCGAGACTGCCATCCCCTCCCCTGCTGCCCCATACCATATGCTGACCTGCGCCCGATAAGGCCATGCATTTGATGTTGCCGCCCTCCCTGCGTGTAAGGAGGGATTGGCAGCTGCAACGCGTGATAGCCAACACTGTGCTGTATGCTGTGTTGAATCTGGATCATGGGGCAAAGGCATTTGAATCGAGTAGAGCAGGGTGGTGTGGTCAGTGCGGAGTGGCATGGTAGGAAGGCGCAAGAAGGCAAGCACAGAGTGTAAAGGCCGCGGCATGATATGGAAATTGGCAGCAGGGATCGACTTGTGGGTCGTGCTTTGTTTCGTGCCAATTGTTTATATGCTGAATTGGGGTTACCTGTTGATAATACTGTATACAAGGGGTGTACTGTGTACGCTCTATCTCAATCTTTTCCCGAGCTCCAACGCGTAAAAAGACATGAACAAGTGAGCTTGTTCCTAGCTGTGATATTCCCTACCAAATATGCACAACATAGCCAATGTCGAGCATCCTAGTATCCAAAAATGGTTTCTCGGTATAAAGGTGTGTCATACATGGTGAAAACGAATCTCGCCAAATAATGTTTAGCCTGGTTCGTAGCACTTCGAATCCGTAAAGCACTCTTGCCGTTATAGAACCAGACACATCATAGTTAGCCGCTTTGAGTGAACTGCAAGTTCACCAAGCATGACACGCCCTTAGAAAAACGACTTGCTGTTGCCTATGAACTAAAGCCGATTTCCCCAAGATACGTTGTGAGATTTATGCGGAGCATCACTCTAGACGGTCGAGCTGAATATGTCTAGGTAAGCCCAGCCGTGAGGGGAGGTCAAGAGTGGCGGCGTCGGGCACATGAAAGGAGGGGTAGATGGGAAATTTCGAGGGGCTCTCCTTGCTGGAGCGAGGCAAAGGCTGATTTGCGGAGGGGGGAGGGGGGGGATGGGGGGGTCGTGGGGGGAGTGGGGTGGGGGGCAGAGGAGAAGAAGATGGTAAAGGGAGCTGAGAACGGGGAGGAGGAGCAGCAGGTTGACAAGCTAGCTCTCACTGCTTACTGCATGCAATGGCTGTCAAAACGTGGGGGAGTGAGAGTGGTGGGGAAGGGGGGGAAAGAAGGGAGAGAGGGGAGGTGGGATAGAGTCATGGTGATTGTCTTTGAGATGATTTTTAATAGGAATCATGGGAAGGATGGGAGAGTTGTCGATGGAGCTGGGAGAGAGGAGAAGGACGTGGAGAAAATGGGGAGATGGCATGGAATATCATGCACTAGTGCAAATGCCAAATGCATCAAAGGTCAACTGCAATACACCAGAGTCACCTGCACTGCACCAGGTGTCATTTGCCACTAGGCGGCAGACGTCCCAGGGGGCCGAGGCTTCCACCAGGGAAAGCCGCCCTGCCACCTCCATGTCCCTCTGCGAGAACGGCAGCAGCGCCACTCCCTGCACTGGCGAGACCAATTTTAGGCGCTGACATGGGATGTATCGCATGGATGGGGGATGGGGAGACGGTCATCTCAAGGTTTTTGGTCAAGAGGAAAGGCTTGAGGGAGACAAGGAAGCGTGGAGGGGGGAGGGGGGGATAGATCTGAAGACCCACTAGTGTTGGTGTTTGAGGATAACCAACCACAATAGTAGGGTTCAATATTACCATGGGCGAGCTGATAGGGATCGTTTATACCGGAAGCGATGCGGCGTGGCGGCCAAAGTGATAATGTTGGACCGTTTTGAACCCCATAGTTGTGTCGTGGATGTTTACCGAGGATAGTTGGTGACGTCACCTATAACATTAGCACAAACAGAAAGTGTCGGTCAAATTGACTTGTAACATTAGTTGATGAGATAGGGTGTGATATGTGGCAAATGTGCAACTAGTCTCACCTAGAAGTCTGCGCGCAGCCTTATGCGTCGATGACCAATCGCGACCCCTCCCACTACGTCGCACAGGTGTAGCGGGCTGCTATACAGATGGGTGGCCCGCTCCATCAGATATGTCAGCGGACTGTTGTTCAGATCCTTGCCCCCCTAATGCATCTTCAATAATATCGTCATCGACACCGTCCCCTAACGATCGTTGCCTCTCAGCCATGATCCGATCAACCCACGACCTATCCATGGGTCCGAGTGTTTGATCCTTGTTGCCCCGACGCACCCGCGTCACTTGCCACACTCGTGTGTGATAGGAAGTGACCAATCTATCCATCGAGTTATTCCAGTGCAAGACCGCGAGAGCCACCCGCGGCACAAGACTATCATGGAACCGAATAAGCTTAGGGGCGTATTTGAGGATCAGAGAATGGAATTACTCATTGACAGAGCTGTTGGCACCGTGAACAAAAGACTTCACCTTTTCCGGGGATAACCGTTTCTCGAACCAAGCAAGTACCGCCTTGTGTGTTTCTGACCCAGGCTCGTAAAGAGCACATTCCCTCCCCCAATTCTCAGTAACACACCTTGGCAGGACACCACCAGACTTTCCACACCCGGAATGGTCACCCGCTCAATGGTTTGGCGCCGTCCCAATCTCCCTAGACACATCAGCAGGGGTCTTAGGGGTGCCCACTTCCTTCATCCTCCCGGCGTGCATCATCACATGGAAAAAATGTGAGCCGAAGCGTTGCGCCACTGTACTCTCTTCATCGCCTGCATGCACCTCATCTCCACCCCGTTTTCGTTTCCGGCGCTCAACCCACCGAGGCAAAGTCTGTCCGATTCCGCTTCCTGCAGCATCACCATCGTGCACTGCACCCTCGTTGTCGCTTGCAGGGTTCGTCTCTGTTGGGTCAGAATCACCCATGCCATCATCTCCTGGTGAACGACAATATTGGAAGGAAACATCTCTGAGTAACCAAACAACATGAGCAGTTAAAACTTCTCTTATATGAGCGTTCTTACCTGTGAATTCGTCAGCGTTGGCCCACGGAGTCGTCCCACCAATTGACCGTGAGACATCGCCTGCACCTGCATGTGCATGCACGATGAATGCACTAACCACAGACGAGGGTCGCGCGCCATGCACTGGATGCAAATCGTAACTCCAAAGGTCCACATCCGGCCACTGCACGTCAACTTGTGCAATGCCCAATTCCTCCTCAACAACCACTTCATCGATCACAGTGGTTCGCCTATCTCCTGTTGGGTCAGATCGCGCCTCAGCATAGGCCACAGGGACATCCACAACCCCCTGTTCCCCCCCCACTCGTCGCACCTTTCTCAGCTCCGGAAACATCCACTTTGCTTCATCGGGTGTCATGTGCACATAGGCAATGGTGCCCATGGCTGTGCAGACCGATTTCACAAAAGCCGATTTGAGTGATGCCTTCGCCTCCTTCTCCAATCCCCGTTTTCGCAACCATTGCCGCAGGCCTTCCACCGTAGCCAACCACAACTCCTCAATACAACTAGCCTTGTCCACGGCTACCGGCACCCGCACGGCATCCTGAAGCTCTTTGCAGAAAAGCTTGTACAGCGTTTTCTTCACGTGGCACCAATCCACCTGATGGTTCAGTTTCCGCTCTGTCGCAGCACCTCTGAATGTCGTTCCTTGGTCCGAAATGATTCCTTCCACATCAAATCCCAACAGCGCCAGCTCATCAACTCCTTTGTCGAACGCAACCCACTCCAATCGCACAGATGACGTATCAACCCCTTTTCTTGTTGGCACACAGTACAATATCTTCCGCGTAACAGCATCATGACACGGTACACCACTCGCCCTCTCGGACATGTGACCACCGACCATCTACCGTTACCCATTCCCGAGGAATGTCTCGTTTCTTCATCTCTTCTCGCACCGCTGCCATCGATTTCTCCGCCTCCCTAAGAATCGTGTTCCACAACCCATTATCATCCCCTAGATACTTATAGAAAGTGCCTTTTCCGGGACATGGGATACCAAAATTTCGGCTGAACTCCCACATCTGTTGATAACCCATCCTGGCAAGCACAAATGCTCCTACGAATTTGGAATGGAGCATAGGCACGCGTGCCCCGACACCCGCTCTTCTTTTCTCAACGGTTCGATTGGTGCATGACCAGAATTCCACACCGTGAGAGCACGCATCACATCTCCAAAACATGCCCACTGATGCCCATAAAAATTTCCTTGACCTTAAAGACATAGCTCCTCCGCATGTCTGTTGATGCGAGCACACCAACCGACGTCCCTTGAAGAATCCAACAAGAGTACGCGGTTCGACGAGACATACCCGTTGTTCAGAAATCTCATCGACATTTGGTGAGGTAGGCCAGTGCCTAGGGACTGTTGCACGCGCAATCGTGCGCGGTAGCCTGCGACGTGGCGAGAGGTGGTGCACAAATCATAAAAAAAACAAACGCATATGAGGTTGGATGGCAGATCCTTTGTTGGGCTGATCAGCATGGAATGGGGAACGCGTCAACCACATCTTCAAAAATGGTAGATGCTTACATGTCCTCTGGCGCGCCTGTTGTCGCCGTTGGCGTCGGTGCTGACAGCGGTGTGTTGACGGGGGTAGACTGTATGCACTCCCGATCGGCAGCTCGACAGTCGGCGCCGTCCTGCGCCATTGGATTAGGAGAATCCGTAACAGCATCCACCACATCACGGTCTGCTGACTCGGAGCCGGCCCTCAGCCCGAGACCACCTGTAGTATATCGAGAGCGATGGGATAAGCTACAACTTGTGGAGTGGAATAGGAAGGACCGAATGCGCACAGTGCGTGGGCATATTTCTGATGGTGAATCTTTCAAATGCATGCAGCCCATTACCTTCCTGGCGTTGGAGGGAAAATGCATTTCCACGCCTTGCTCCTCCCCAAGATAGGCCCTTCACAGGTTTAGGTCTCCCGCGATGATCAAGCTTCATAATCGGAAAGGAAAACTTGACGCCAGGCAGCACTTGATTCAGTCGTCCCAGTAGATCTCTAATCTTCTCGTAGCCTCCGTGCATGTGCCCTCTGAAAATGTGACTATACTCTTGACGGTGCATGTCGACCATGGCGCCGGTTTGCGTGCCCTCTGACTCGGGATCTGGGTGTCATTTGGGTTGACATATGAAGGTGCACACAGTACCCGTATTCACTGAAATGAACTATGCAACTAATATGTGTTGACACCAAACCATTCTTCAACTTACCTGCAGCTAGTCCTGCTGTAATGAGTCGAAGCGTCGCATCTGGTGCTGCCTCTGCCAAGAAATGAATAACGTCGTCGGGTGTCGCCATAGCCTCGCCAGCGAGCAAAGCGGACAATCCCACACGTAGCACGCACAACAGAGGCCGCATATGCTTTGATATGTTCGCGCTGCCCTTCGTGGCATCCTTGCATGTTTGCGCTGCTGGATGTTTACTCGATCTACTCACATTGGACATACCGGGAATACTACACAACCAAGAGGGTATGCACGCGCATGATGGGTAAGACAGATACCCACGTGGGATGATGGGTAGGAGGGCATAATTATTGATGGCGAGCATCTAGATGCCCAACAGGGAGGGATAAATGACATATGAAGTGATAAGGCAGGTGGCCCAAGTGCTGCGGATAATGGGGCACTTGATCTGAATGGTTACCAAACAAGCGCACTGCAAAGGTGGCAGAGCCAAGAATCAGATGGATGTATGACAATCAGGGATGGATGAATCAAATCAGGGAGGGCTATATGAGAACTAACCTGCCAAGGCTGCGGCTGATTAGATGGATGGATGTCCCCTGAACCCAGCAGTGCAACGGCTGCAGCAACACGTCCTGTCAACAAGCTGGAACATGGGCGGCGGAATATAAGACAAGTGAAACGCAAAGGCAGCACTTGACACCAGGCGCTGCTATGCCTGCGGCACCAGCGAGGCATGCAAACCCGCACAGCACCCAAGAACACGGCTGACGGGGACAAGTGGTGATGTGCCCCTAGTACCAGACAGGATGTTTGAGTTACAACTACCATGCAAATGACTCAGCGCCTCGCAATGCTGAGCAGGGGGCACCAGAAATGAATGGTTCAATGATTAGATGAGCACTGACCTGCCAATGTTGCAGTGTGATGTGCTGCCGTTTGCGCCGCCGCCCAGATGAAAGGATGACAGACAAATTCAGTAGTGCAACAGCAAAACGTCCTTTGGATAACTGGCAAATAACGAAGGAATAAAAGAGAGGTAAAATTCAAAGACAGCCGGACGTTTGCCAGAACCTGGAAAATGGGAAAGGAATGAGTTCCAAGTGAGATGCAAACGCAAGAACACCAAGTGCTGCTTACGCTGCGGCACCAGCGAGGCATGGTCCCCCACACTGCACCCTGCACACCGACAGCGGGACCATGTGATGATGTGCCCCCAGTACTAGACAGGGGTGTTGGAGAAACAACTGCTGTGCAAATGGCATAAGACCGCGCGCTGCTGAGCATGAGGCACCATAAATGAATGGTTGGATGAGGACTGACCGGCCAAGAGAGCAGTGCGATGTGTTGGTGTTATTGACGATGCCCAGATGGATGGATGTCTTCAAAACTCAGCAGTGCAACGGCTGCAGCAACACGGCCTGTCAACAAGCTGTAACATGGGAAAGGGATGTAATACAAGTGTAAGACATTGATGGACGAGAACGAGCTCATCTGCAAAGGCAGCAGCACGAGACATTGACGACAACTGACCTGCCAGGGACTGTTGCGATGTGCTGTTGTTCTAGTGGCTGCCCAGTGAAATGGATGATTCCCACACTCAGAAGCGCAACGACTGAAGCAACACGGCCTGCAAGGAGATAAAGAACAAGCCAAGCGGGGAAGGGGATGGGGGGAAGCAAGGAAGGGGACATGGGGAAGCAGGGAAGGGGATGGGGGAAAGCAGGGAAGGGCACAAGGGGAAGCAGGGAAGGGGATGGGGGGGAGCAGGGAAGGGGATGGGGGGAAGAAGGGAAGGGGACAAGGGGAAGCAGGGAAGGGGATGTGGGGAAGCAGGGAAGGGGGTGGGCGGAAGCAGGGAAGGGGACATGGGGAAGCATGGAAGGGGACATGGGGAAGCAGGGAAAGGGACATGGGGAAGCAGGGAAGGGGATAGGGGGAACCAGGAAAGGGAATGGGGTGAAGCAGGGAAGGGGACATGGGGCAGCAGGGAAGGGGATGGGGGGGAGAAGGGAAGGGGATGGGGGGAAGAAGGGAAGGGGACAAGGGGAAGCAGGGAAGAGGATGGGGGGAAGCAGGGAAGGGGGTGGGCGGAAGCAGGGAAGGGGACATGGGGAAGCAGGGAAGGGGGCATGGGGAAGCAGGGAAGGGGACATGGGGAAGCAGGGAAAGGGACATGGGGTAGCAAGGAAGGGGACATGGGGAAGCATGGAAGGGGATGGGGCGAAGCAGAGAAGAGGATGGGGGGAAGCATGTAAAGTGATGGGGGGAAGAAAGAAAAGGAATGGGGGGAAGCAGGGAAGGGGACATGGGGAAGCAAGGAAGGGGACATGGGGAAGCAGGGAAGGGGATGGGGGGAAGCATGTAAAGGGATGGGGGGAATAAGGGAAGGGGATGGGGGGAAGGAGGGATGGGGACATGGGGAAGCAGGGAAGGGGACATGGGGAAGCAGGGAAGGGGACATGGGGAAGCAGGGAAGTGGACATGGGGAAGCAGGGAAGGGACATGGGGAAGCAGGGAAGTGGACATGGGGAAGCAGGGAAGGGGACATGGGGAAGCAGGGAAGGGGATGGGGGAAAGCAGGGAAGGGGATGGGGGGAACCAGGAAAGGGAATGGGGTGAAGCAGGGAAGGGGACATGGGGCAGCAGGGAAGGGGATGGGGGGGAGCAGGGAAGGGGATGGGGGGAAGCAGGGTAGGGGACATGGTGAAGCAGGGAAGGGGACAAGGGGAAGCATGGAAGGGGATACAAGGAAGCAGGGAAGGGGATGGGCGGAAGCAGGGAAGGGGATGGGCGGAAGCAAGGAAGGGGATGAGGGGAAGCAGAGAAGGGGATGGGGGGGAGCAGAGAAGGGGATGTGGGGAAGCAGGGAATGGGATGGGGGAAAGTGAGGGAGGGGATGGGGGGAAGCACAGAAGGGGATGAGGGGAAGCAGGGAAGGGGACATGGGGAATCAGGGAAGGGGACATGGGGAAGCAGGGAAGGGGATGGGGGGAAGCAGGGAAGGGGATGGGGGGAAGCAGGGAATGGGATGGGGGAAAGCAAGGAAGGGGACATGGGGAAGCAGGGAAGGGGACATGGGGAAGCAGAGTAGGGGAGGGGGGGACGCATGAAAGGGGATGGGGGAAAGCACAGAATGGGATGGGGGGAAGCAAGGAAGGGGACATGGGGGAGCAGGGAATGGGACATGGGGAAGCAGAGTAGGGGATGGGGAGACGCAGGGAAGGGGATGGAGGGAAGCAGGGAAGGGGACAAGGGGAAGCAGGGAAGGATCCATGAGGAAGCAGGGTAGGGGACGGGGGTAAGCAGAGTAGGGGATGGGGGGAAGCAGGGAAGGGGATGGGGGAAAGCAGGGAAGGGGATGGGGGGAAGCAGGGAACGGGCCATGGAGAATCGGGGAAATGGATTGGGGGAAGCAGGGAAGGGGATGGGAGGAAGCAGGGAAGGGGAAGGGGGGAAGCAGGGAAGGGGATGAGGGAAAGCAGGGAAGGGGATGGGGGGAAGCAGAAAAGGGGATGCGAGGAAGCAGGGAAGGGGACATGGGGAAGCAAGGACACGTTCATGCGGTGACAGGGGCAGCAGTCAACCCCCCGTATTTCCGTTGTTGCAAGGGTGAGAATGCGTGCTGTGTAAAATTGGAAGAGACGACAGTAGATGTGACATTTGCAGCACCCGGGCGAGATTTTCATCTAATTCGGGCGGGGTGAAAGACAACTAACCAGCCAAGGCACCTCTCATTGCTGAACCGGAGGTACCAGAAAGGGACGTGTGACTAACAACGTTGCGCTATGCCAGCAGAGCCGCGTACCGCTATGCACGGGGAGAACCAGTAATGGCTGGTTGGCAAACCAAGACTGTGTGAACGCAGCAGCAACTAGTGCTGGATGGCTTTGCAGCAACTGACCTGCACAGGCGGGTGTGCGATGTACTGTTTTTCCCGTGGCAGCCTTTTGGATGGATGACAGACAAGTCCTGTGAAACAACTGCAGCAACGCGTCCTGCAGTATCGCTGGAAAAGGGACGAAAGTGGGGGAGTTGAACAGGTAGCGGCACCAAGTGACCCGGTGCCCGCGGCATGAGTGAGGCATGCAATCCCTCAGACAATGTGGTATTAGCAGTGACATGACACCCACATGATGTGAGACGCCCGGCAGTGATCACATGCGTTGTCTTGAGAAGAACCACCACATGTTTTGACAAGAGCAAAAGTAACTTCCGTGCTATAGCATGAGTAGGAGTGACCACATGCCCTTCATGTCTGTACGGTGGAGTTACCACAAGGCTATGACATGAGCAGCAGTGATTACATGCTCTTTTGTGAGAAGCGGTGACCATGTGCTGTGGCGTGAGTAGCAGTTCCGCCACCACATGTTCTGTGAGGAACAGCATTGACCACGTGCTGTGTGATGAATCACAGGTGACAACAATGGATGTGACAGTTGCTGCAGTGCTGACACCTATCGTGACAGAATTGTCTCAGCATGCTGTGACCATAGAGGCATTGATGCCTGTTACTGCGACAGCAGCGGCTCAGTCGACACTTGCAGTGACCTTTGTACTGCAAACTAGCGCATCCCAAATCTGAGATATCCCTTAGCAGCGACGGATTCCGTTATGCTGCTGCACATGTACATGTGTGGGTTTCGTCAGTGCACGGAGACTAGACACTCAGCGGTGAAACACGCGGGTATTGCAACGCCATCTGCGTGTGCTGCAGAATACAGGACATGTCGTTTACCTGCGCACGCGTGACCTTGTGACAACACAACCCCATTGCCACCCTCTTATAGGTTCTAGATTTGTCACGCTCGTAGTGCAGTTTGTCGCCCTATAACTCAGAGCTCCTATAGACGTCTTCTCCACGCCAAGTGCCGTTACCACCCTCCTACCTCATGCGCATGCCTATTGTCGCTTTGGTCCTGGAAATTATCGTCGCAAGTTAGACTCTGAATTCGAATCCGTTTCTACCAAATCTTTCGGGTACAGCGTAGAGATTTCTCCCGTTCCGTCACCACGTTGCCTCCATATGATCGGTCTCTCTCAAAATCATCAACTGACAACCTTCCTTCTTCCCGTACTCCCAACGTTCATCCTAAACGTTGCAATCTGTCTTAAATTCATGCTGGCTTCTCCTGCGACGCGGTATCACGCCCGCGACGCGCTTTATTGTTGTATCACCCTGCCGCTAGCATGGCTGGTAGTCGAGGGACCTACCAGTTCCTCCTGGACGCCCTCAGGCATGTAATATTACGTGGCTGGAGCTATCGTGTCGCATTTGCGGCTGGTGCCATTTTCTACCTACCACCTGTCAACGCGTCGTCCTGTTTCACCCAGCGAAACACATGGTTGTCTCGTTGTTATGGTCCCTTTCAGTTGCAAAATGCTCTTCTATTCGGCAGTTGTGTTTTTTCAGAGGCCTGATTGGCTGCGACAACACACCTCCAAGTCGCTTCCATTCTCAATCGGAGCTCTGCCGTTATCGCCCTACATCGCTTGGGGGTTCCCCTTTTCGAAAGTGTTCCTCTCACAATTTCGCCCATCAGGTCTCCTATTCAGTCGCACGTGACATCTTCTCCCTCCCATATTCTTGGGGATAGGAGTCGCACAGGTGTGTGACGAAAACTATTTTTCCTCGTAAGCTGATTTGGCCCTTGCGTGGTTTTTTGCCTTTCGCGAACACTGTTAAAGCCTTTCTGTTACATTGCCAAAAACCATGCTGACCTCGGGCTTTAAACGCACTCCGCATCCGCCCGCTCCATCCCACATAGTAGGAGCCATCCAATGCCTCGATCTTGGATCGTGGCGGCTCATTCCTCTTCTCAGCTGCATCTCCACTCCCTTGACTCATTTCCTTTGCTCCCAATCACAGGTTTCAGCTCCCCCCTTTGCTGGTCACAATGTACATCCACAATATCTTCACAAGTGTCGGCGCCAACAAAATTTCGGCAGAGTTTCCCTTTAGCGGAAGTCACAAGCAACCTCCAGAACTCCACTTAGGCACGCCCACAGGTCATGGTGGGTCTAGGAGGGTCTTAACACTTCAATAGACTCTCCACAAAGTCCTTAATCAGCTCTGATACCACTTGTTAGAGACTACGGACGGAGTCTAGGAAGCTTAGAGGCCGAAATATCACAAAAACATTGGTCTCAATTTCTGGACAGAATTGTCGCGCTCACAAGAAACGCCGTCGACGAAAAACGCACCGTCAAAACTTCAACAATTTTGGATATTCCCAATTTGAATCGCATCAAAAGATGAAATATATCTCGAGTTATGATTTTCGGCGCACTAGGGGGTATGCTGCCAATAAACTTAACTCACTCACAATTGTTCTCACAAGTTCACACAAGAAAGTTAGAGTGGCAATTAACCAGGTAGGAGGGAAGAGGAGGACGAGAGGGAAGGTCCCAAGAGAGTCCCCAACCAAGGAAACCCCATGCCACACAATTCCCCTCTCTATAGGTACCCGAACTTTGACATTTGTCACTTTCCCAACCTCCACAATCCACCTCACCCAAGTTGGCCACACTTGCCAACCCAATTTGGTTTCTCCCACCCAATTGGCAGCATCTACAGTGATGGGGACAAATTTCCCAACCCCCAAAAGTCTGTACCCCTTATGGAGTCAACCCCGCAACTTCCCATAGTCACCACCACAACCAAATATCAAAAGCATACGAACTTCTAACGTTCGTAACTTTCTTGTTCGTGCTCCGATTGAAGCGATACTTGGTTTGTCGGAAAGCTCTTGAGCAGAGAGGTCACTTCAGATATCTGCTCAAACCAAATAACATTCACACACACTCAGAAAAACCGAACCACATCAAACACAAATTCTTGCACATGCTCACACCACGCATGCAACGCACGAACATGTGATGGGAGGCAAACAGACGTGAATGCAAGCGATAGCATCACATAACAAGATGGCATCCTGGAAGTCCACAAGTACCTACGTCGATGCAGTTCCCCCTCCTGGGGCGAACGTAGTCGATGGCATGCGGATTTTCAGGGTGAAGCGGCCGCCGGGTTCTCCGCCTGTCTTCAAGGCTCGTTACGTTGCACGAGGCTTCAGTCAGCGATAGGGAGTTCACTTCTTCCAGACCTTCTCCCCTACCCCAAAGATGACCACTCTTTGGGTGCTGCTGCACGTTGCCGCTCAGCGTGACTACGAGCTTCACTCTCTTGACTTCAACACAGCTTTCCTACAGGGCAGCCTGCACGAGGAGATCTGGCTGCGCCGCCCACCTGGCTTCACTGGGTCGTTTCCTGCAGGTACCCAGTGGAGCCTCCGACGGCCAGTCTACGGTCTCCGCCAGGCGCCTCGTGAGTGGCACGACATACTGAGGACGACACTTGCGGCTTTTGGGTTTACTCCTTCCACTGCTGACCCGTCGCTGCTTCTACGCACCGACACTACTCTGCCGCCGTTCTACATCCTCGTGTACGTCAACGACTTGATCTTTGCTACTGCTGACACTGCGGGACTGGCCCACGTGAAGTCGGAGCTGCAGAAGAGAGACGCGTGCACAGACGTGGGTGAGCTGCGCAGCTATCTTGGCTTGCAGATCACCCAGGACAGAGCACGGCGCAACATTATACTGACTCAGTCACACATGGTGCAGCAGGTCCTTAAGCGCTTCAACTTCACGTACTCCTCGCCTCAGGCCACTCCTCTGTCTACTCGCCACTCGCTCTCAGCTCTGCCTTCGGATGAGTCCGTAGAGCCGAGTGGCCCGTACCCAGAGCTTGTGGATTGCCTCATGTACCTAATGACCTGCACTCGACCTGACCTGGCATACCCTCTTTGCATCCTGGCACGCTATGTTGCTCCTGGGAGACACCGACCAGAGCACATGGATGCAGTTAAGAGGGTGTTGCGCTACCTATGCAGTACGTCGGGTTTGCTCCTTCGACTGCAAACCCGTCTCTGTTTCTCCGCACCGACACTTTGCTGCCGCCGTTCTACATCCTCGTGTACGTCGACGACTTGGTTTTTGCCACTGCTAACACTGAGGCACTCGCCCTTGTGAAGTCGGAGCTGCAGAAGAGACACATGTGCACAGACCTGGGTGAGCTGCGCAGCTATCTTGGCTTGCAGATCACCGGGACAGAGCACGGCGCACCGTCACTCTGACTCAGTCATAATGGTCCAGCAGGTCCTTCAGCGCTTCGGCTTCACTTGGTCCTTGCCACAGTCCACTCCTCTGGCTACTGGTCACTCGCTCTCAGCTCCACCTTCGGACGAGTCCGTAGAGCTGAGTGGCCCGTACCCAGAGCTAGTCGGCTGCCTCATGTACCTGATGACCTGCACTCGTCCTGACCTTGCGTACTCTCTTGGCCTTCTGGCACGCTACGTGGCTCCTGGTAGGCACCGAAAGGTGCACTAGGATGCTATGAAGATGGTACTGCGATACTTGTGCACTAAATTGGGCATGGGGCTCGTGCTTGGAGGGCGGGGTCCAGTTGTCCTCACTGGACACTCAGACGCTTTGTGGGTTGACGACCTTACTACGCAGCGGTCGTCTCAGGGTTACTCGTTCAGCATTGGCTCCGGCACTGTTTCTTGGCGGTCTACCCGCTCTTCTTCTGTTCTCAGCTCCAGTTGTGAGGCTGAGATCTACGCGACTGCCATGGTTGCACAGGAGTTACGTTGGCTCACCTACCTGCTGACCGACTTGGGAGAGCGGCCTCGTTCTCCTCCAGTTCTGTACGTAGACAACAAGGCTGCAATTGCCTTGTGTCAGGAGCAGAGACTGGAGTACAGAACAAAGCACATCGCTCTGCGTTACTTCCTTGCTTGAGAGTTGCAGTAGCGTGGTCAGCTTCGTCTTGCTTACGTGGCCACTCGGGTCAACACTGCTGATATATTCACCAAGGCACTTCAGCCTTGTGATCATCAGTGCTTCTGTACTGTGTTCGGCCTTGTGCCTGTTTTGCCTCACTTGCTCATTGCTTGACTTTGCTTGTACGGTGACCTATATATTTACCTGCATGCTTACTCTTGC